GTCCAGTGGATGATGAACTCGACATGGAAATACTTGGGATCAAAAGTATATCTCTTTATTACTTATCATGGTATGAATTACTTTGCAGTTGCATTTTCGAGCGTTACAGGCGAGCGAGAAAATAGATGCGCTCGACGGAGCGACGTGAATTGCCATGAATCGCCATGCGAAGACTTGTAAGCGCTCGCCTTGATGATCGATTCCAGCCGTTGGGGCTTTTACGCACAACAACCGAGTCTGAGCATCACTACGATACTCTATCTATGCGGAGAGCTATTCTTAATACAGATTGAGCTTTTTTATAAACGAAACGTGCGTAGAGATCAGTAAATAGCCATTTTTGTTAGATTTCCTGGAAATTCAAGGGTCGTGGAAATTTTTCCGAAATTTCCTTCGGAAATTTCAGGAATGGAAATTGACACTTGCAAAAATCACACCCTGCACATCGTTGAGGCTCATATCGTTAATGTTCTTCGCAGTCACTTGATGGCACTTCACATAAGGAGAAGGGGCAGTTGCCTCCATATCAGACCTGGGGTCAAGCGGAATAGCCAGTAGCTGTTGACATTCCTGACCAACGATGATTCTATCTTGTTGAGCAGCATTAGAATAGATCATCCACACCGCACTACCTGCACGTCTTAATAGATTAGTTGGCACAATGAAGGGGTAGTTGAGCGATTTGACAACTACTCCTTTTCAATCTCAAATTCAGCAAATGAAAGAACAAATTAGAAAAATGAAATTTGATTTTCGACGAGTGAAAGGTGTTTTTCACGAAATGAAAGTTCAAATTCGAAATGATCGATTTTCGTAGACCACTCGAAAATGAAAGTTCAAATTCGTAAATGAAATTTATGAATTCGGAAACACAAGTTCAAATTCGTCAAACACAAGACCAATTTCGATGAATGAAAGCTCATTTTTCATCACGTCTCGTAATGCATTATTCACACTACACGAGTTCTGCAAAGCGTTCTTGCGGTACTCCCATTTTGCACAGTTATCGCGCGCAGAGGTACTCGAGGCATCACAATCGGTCACTCCTGGGTGGTTCAGGTTGGGACATGCGACACTCGAGTTGAATGGCGTCGAAGTCTTGATGTACATAGAGTTCTTAACTGCGCGTTTCTTGCAGTAGTTCCGTTCTCCATATGCCTCGACTCGGAATGAAGTATCATAAGACTACGGAAGTCGAACGGACGAGGATTTTAGAGGCTCGTGCTAACGGTCAATGTCCTTATGCTATTGGAAAAGCTCACGGCATCCCCCGGTCAACAATCACATCTATCCTCAAGCGTGATACCGCCAAATATGAGAGACGCGGCGGTCATCGGCAAGCCAAGATCACACATGAGATCAAAGCTTACCTGGAGGAGCGGATTGAGGCTAAGGCTGATTGCACCTTACGAGAGCTGAAAGATGAGATTCATGTATTCTTCAATGTCGACGTCACCGAGCAAGCTATTGGTAATGCTCTTGATGGCATGTCCTACACGGTCAAGGAATTGCGCCCTATGAGCGTCACTGTCAACAATGATGTCAACAAGAATAAAAGGTTTGAATATGCTCAGAAGATAATGGGTCTCCAAGGCAACGGCCACCGAACCTACTGGATGGATGAGAGTAATGTTAATATTCACTGTAATCGCTCTAATGGACGCGCCAAATTAGTCCATTTGCATCGCACACG